GAAAAAGGGGACTGTCTTGGGAAGATTGTGAACTATTGTCATAGTTACTGTTATAATTGTTGGAGACATTCTAATAAAGTAATGATGGAGGCACCCACTGATACCTAAAAGGAAGAAAGAACATTTATGAACACAAATGAGTGCGTTCAATTTATTTATGCCAAGCCACAAATTAGAGTTGAAAAATAAACTTCTACTATTTTTTTCTTTCTAATTTCTAACATTAAAAAAATCATTTAATTTTTTTTATTATGTTTTGTTGCAAATGTTGGAATAAATGTTAATGTTCAGATTAAAAGGGAACTGCTAAATTAGAAAAGATTTCATTCTAGACAAATTTTTTGCTTTTAACCAAGGCTGAAAAAGCTGCTCCAGATATTTATGCTATGTATGAAACGGGTATCATAGCATAAAGAACCGGTTAAGATTGATTTGCTAAACTTAAAAATGAAAATTCTACCCTCAAAAACAAATCTTACTCCGGGTCGTCCAGTTGAATGAGAGCAAAGTAAAATAGTTGACAAATATTCGAGTCCAACAAACAGAAGTCGCAGAAAAAGAAGGGTTTCCTAATTTTTTTAAAAAAACTTTTGACGGAAGCTCAGTTACCAACCAATATNAAAACGAACCTTCCTCCGGTCGTCCAGTTGAGTTAGAGCAAAGTAAAATAGTTAACAAATATTCGAGTCCTACGAACAGTTTCCTAATTTTTTTAAAAACAATTTTGACGGAAGCTCAGTTACCAACCAACATAAATATTGATTGCAAAATAAACTAGAAAATTATGATCCAGGTTATGGATATTCTACGTCGGAAGTAATAATTCCAAAAAGTATACTTCTGTAAATAATACTAAGAAACAGTAATCTAAAAACGTTTAAAAAGTCCGGGCTAAGAAAATTTCAAATTTTTTTTAAAAAAAAAGTACGAAGTCTATTTTAGAACGGGGTAGAGACTACATAATCAATGAAAAGGAACGATTGATTAAAACTAAAAATATTGTTGACATATCTTATAATTTATTTCTAGAAATAAAATCTTACTACCCCTTCAAGATGCTTACTTAGATATACCATATGTAATTAATATCTAATAAAAGATTGTGCAGCTCTAGTGCGACGTAAATTAACAACAACAACTACATCTAATAAAAGAATAAAAATTTTACCCAGTTTCATAATTGAATCAAGTTTCTATTTCAAAAATGCATGAATAGTAAAGAAAAAAGCTCAATCAAAAATTAAAAAAATGCGGATTCGGCAAATTATTTCGGTTATTCTAAAAAGTATATAGAGGGTTCAGTCAACTTGGCATAAGTGAAAGATTCTATCAATGAATGAAAATTTGATAAATAACTTAATACTGATAATAAATAACTCTTACTGATAGGAACTGCTCGTAAGCCAGTCCAGTAATTGCGTGACTCCCAGTCGGTAAGCCAGTCCAGTAATTGCGTGACTCCCAGTCGGTAAGCCAGTCCAGTAATTGCGTGACTCCCAGTCGGTAAGCCAGTCCAGTAATTGCGTGACTCCCAGTCGGTAAGCCAGTCCAGTAATTGCGTGACTCCCAGTCGGTAAGCCAGTCCAGTAATTGCGTGACTCCCAGTCGGTAAGCCAGTCCAGTAATTGCGTGACTCCCAGTCGGTAAGCCAGTCCAGTAATTGCGTGACTCCCAGTCGGTAAGCCAGTCCAGTAATTGCGTGACTCCCAGTCGGTAAGCCAGTCCAGTAATTGCGTGACTCCCAGTCGGTAAGCCAGTTCACAATACAGTCTTAAATGCGTGGCTTTAATTTCAGTAGATGCAATAGCCAATTAACCTATAATGACACAGCAATATTTAGAATTTTAAATTTCACATAAATTAAAAAAAATTCTTTTACGGAAAAGAAAAACAAATTATTCACAGACTTAAAATTTTACTAAAATCTTGAATTTAAAATAAGCAATCTCACATACGACCAGTTTTTATAGAATTTATTTTGCAGGTAACTTGAGAAATTAATATAAGATAATCGAAACCTTTTTACACAAGTTTAGTTTAACCACTTGTAGATTCAACTGCTTTGTTGTTGTCTTGAAATTTTTACCGATTTCTAACTTTTTTACCTTGTTTTTTTCTTTTTTGTTTAAGCCCAATCGCATTAATAAATCTGTTCTCGACGGCGAATACGTATTTATTTTTACGAATGTAGGTTCAATAATTTGTTCATAAACAGTACTTATGCTATTAAATTAAAAGTAAATTTGTTTAAAAATTTCAAATGTTTGGACCTTTTATTTATGAACATTAAAAATGAATGCTGACCAAACTTCATTAAACATCGTTCGACATGTTTAAAACACTTCCGTGAGAAAAACAGAATATGAATTTAATTAAATTCACTCTGATGAATTTTTCAAAAGATTACGAAACAGTTTTTATTTACTCAAGCATAATTAATCTTTAATTTTACTAAAACTGTCTCTTATTGAACAAAAAAGCACTTTTAGATATATTTATGCCGCTTAATATTTCCTATTTAATTTCAAAAATTAAAATGCTGCAATTTCTTTAAAAATAGTAAATTTTTAATAAAAGAAAATTTTAAAGCACTGCATATATTGTTCTACACTACCAAAATGTCTATAGAGCAACAAAGATACACTTACTTAATATAACTGAAGCTGCCGTAGCTTAAATTTCTAAAATCTAGAAGGTTATTCGTAAGAGGGTAATGAAGGTAATAATACTCAGTTATCCAAACTACTAAGAGATTGCTACGTGGCGGCTGGATAGCTTAAATAGATTTTTATCTCATGGTCACAGTTATATTACTTGTGTTCGTCATTATTAACGAAAGATAATTTAGAAGCAATGCAGTGATTCAGAATTCGAATCGTAACATAATAAATTGTATAACAAACAATCTGGATATTTGTATTGAAGTTGCCATAAGAGTATTGCTCTCTTACCAAATGTTGCGAAGGATAAAGATAGCGAGTTCAGTTTTTTTATAATCTGTATTCCAAATTTTAAAAGTAGCATGAGGAGGTATGCTCGTTACTATTTTAATCCTACCATCAAAACTAATTTTACAAGAAACAATAAATTTCTTAAAGTCATTCTTAATAATTTAGATTTATATAATTAATGAAAAGTCGTACCACATTAATTCTTTACTGAAGAATAAAAGCCTGAAAATTCTGGCCGTGAAAAGGTCTGAAAACTGAAGCACCAAATTGAAATAAAGAGAATCACACGTTTATAATCCAAATTTATCGTATAACTGCTACGAATATTTATAAGTATCACATGACTGTTTAATTATAAAACATAGAAACACAATATGATACTGCTGTGTAATATTTAATGTTCCAAAACAAAGTTTTTAATGCAGATCCCTCAGTTCCTCGTATATTTATAAGTGCTGGAGTTCTATTGAAACTTCGGGACTCGATCCTGCGACCTTCTCCTCTGTGATGCAACCGGAAGTAAGGCCTTAGAAAAATTGACCACTGTGAGCCGAATCAATTGTAGTGTACGAATGCGTCTGTATTGTCTTCGTATCCTTAAAAAGAGAAAATGACCAGATCATCACTAAGAGAAATTATTGTCTTGCTAAATTAAGAAGTTAACAATGAAATCTTACAAATTTTACTTAAATTGAAACATACAATTATGATGAGGGGGCAGTTATTCTTTAATTTTTCAAAGCAAAAGAAAAATATTCTTAGAATTGAAGAATTTTGCGAAGTGTTTTATTATCCATAGGATTTAGTGACTCTGCTGTTGTTGTTAATTTACGTCGCACTAGAGCTGCACAATGGGGTATTTAAAGAATCTGGTGACGGTCTGGGAAACATCCCGGAGGATGATCCGAAGACATGCCATCACAATTTTGATCCTCTGCGGAGGGGATGGCATCCCCGCTTCGGTAGCCCGACGACCTGTGCGCGAAGTCGAGCACTTTACGGTAGCACAGTTTAACGAGAACCAATACCGCACACCCTCGGTCCCTACGCAGATTGATCCAAGTGGTCAGCCACCCGCACATTGACCGCAACCAGTGATGCTTGACTTCGGTGATCTGCTGGGAAACGTGTCTTAACGATCAGTCAACTGCGGGACTAGTGACTTTGCCGTTGGGTGACAAACTGAAATCGTTGGAAGATTTGCATCTTGACTTTTCTTAATCACCCCAGCACTATAAAACGGTAAGTAGGAAGGTATTTTATTTACGACGCAGTAGAACTGCACAATGGCCTGTTGGTGACGGTCTGGGAAACATCCCGGAGGATGATCCGAAGACATGCCATCGCAATTTCGATCGCCTGCAGAGAGAATGGTTTCCCTGCTTTGGTAGCCTGACGACCTGCACGCGAATTCGAGCACTTTACGGTAGAACAACTTAGCGAGGCGTACCCTCTGTCTATACGAAAGCTGATCAAAGTGGTCAGCCCCCAGCTAAATGACTGCAGTCAGTGATGCTTGATTACGGTGTTCTACAGTTAACACGACCCGATTTTTTGAGTTTACTACTACCCATTTCAAACACGGTCAGCCTTGTAATTTTAAACCCAATCAATCCAGAAGACTCCTGGATCAAGTATCGGGTGAAATTTGCCTTCTTAAAGGACTTTTTGAGGAACATAACTCCAGTTTGAGTTACATGGTGGGAAAAAACACGAAAACCTCCCACAATTAGCTTGACGGTAAGGGGACTCTAACCCATGATCCACTGATCCGTCTACCACTGAAGATAATTTACGTCAGCCCTGTGGCAGGCGCGAGCAGTGGGCGGACTAATTTATACCCTTTATATCACTATACATGAATTATTTACACGTGTAAGTTATATTTCTGTAACACCGTTCTATTGGAAACTGTGTCTTTGTTATCTTGCATTGCATACGCAATGTAGTTTCATGTTGTACATTGCGGGACCNTGCATTGCTTTGAAAAGTCATTTCTCATAAAATCTATCGCAGTTTTGAAACATACAGTAAATTTGTTATTTATCAGTTCAATTTGAAGATGTTGGAATTTTCTTTAAATAAAATTTTGAGGGACTTAGAACTTTAAAATACTCGAAGATTTGTTGAATACATTAAAAGTTCACAAGTATAACATTCTAACGTTGTTGCGTAGAGTTTCCTATTAGCGATAAACAAAATACGAGTAACGTGTAATACCAGAATTAAAAATCTCAGCCTCTATATTTCTAATCGTATAAAAATTTAAATAGAAGCTAGGGGATCAAAGCATTGGTTTTCTAATTACTCTTACTAAAATTATTTATGTTAATCATTTTATCATGCAATAATCTGTACTCAAATTAAAAATTAAAATAAATTTAATAAAAAATATTTTGAAAAATAAGTTGTAACAAAAACTGCATTCAAGATAAACCTTAAAAAGAGCGACTAACTTCAAAGCTAGAAAATTAAAGAATTTCGACCTAAATTTTAACACAAAACAGCAAGGGAGACTTCGAATATAACATGATAAAAAATTGTGTTGCATAAATCACTCATTTCCAACAATGATTATCAATGATTTTTAAGTTTTAAAGTATTTCAAAATATTTAATTTCGAGAGAACAAGAAATAACCCATTATTGATATAGAAAAAGGGGACTGTCTTGGGAGGATTGTAAACTATTGTCATAGCTACTGTTATAATTGTTGGCGAAATTCTAATAAAGCAGTGATGGAGGCACCCACTGATACCTAAAAGGAAGAAAGAACATTTATGAACACAAAGGAGTGCGTTCAATTTATTTATGCCAAGTCACAAGTTTGAGTTGAAAAAAAACTTACACTATTTTTTTTTTCTTTTTCTAATTTCTAACATTCAAAAATCATTAAATTTTTTTTTTATTATGTTTTGTTGCACCTGCTCGAATAAGTGTTAATGTTCAGATTAAAAACAGCAAAATTAGAAAAATTTTCATTCTAGAAACCTTTTCGCTTTTAACCAAGGCTGAAAAAGCTGCTCCTGATATTTATGCAATGTATGAAATGGGTATCATAGCATAAAGAACCGGTTCTGATTGATTTACTAAACTTAAAAATGAAAATTCTACCCTCAAAAACGAACCTTACTCCGGTCGTCCAGTTGAGTTAGAGCAAAGTAAAATAGTTAACGAATATTCGAGTCCAACGAACAGGCAGGAAAAAAAAAGAGTTTCCTGATCCTTTTAAAAAACTTTTTGACGGAAGCTCAGTTACCAACCAATATAAATATTGATTGAAAAAAAAAATAGAAAATTATGATCCAGGTTATGGATATTCTACGTTGGAAGTGATAATTCCAAAAAGTATACTTCTGTAAATAATACTAAGAAACAGTAATCTAAAAATGTTTTAAAAATTCCGGGTTAAGAAAATTTCAAATTTTTTTTAAAATAAGTACGAAGTCTATTTTAGAACTGGGGAGAGACTACATAATCTATGAAAAGCAACGATTGATTAAAATTAAAAATATTGTTTACATCTCTTATAACTTATTTCTAGAGGTAAAATCTTAATATCATTTCAAGATGCTTACTTAGATATACCATATGTAATTAATATCTAATAAAAGAATGAAAATTTCACCCAGTTTCATAATTGAATCAAGTATCGATTTTAAAAATACATGAATAGCAAAGAAAAAAGCTCAATCAAAAATTAAAAAAATGTAAATTCGGCAAATTATATCAGTTATTCTAAAAATTATATAGAGGGTTCAGTCAACTTGGCATAAGTGAAAGAAGATTCTATCAATGAATTAAAATTTGATAAATAAAATTCTCTTACTGATTGGAACTGCTATCAAGCCAGTCCTGTGATTGCGTGACTCCCAGTCGGTAAGCCAGTCCAGTGATTGCGTGACTCCCAGTCGGTAAGCCAGTCCAGTGATTGCGTGACTCCCAGTCGGTAAGCCAGTCCAGTGATTGCGTGACTCCCAGTCGGTAAGCCAGTCCAGTGATTGCGTGACTCCCAGTCGGTAAGCCAGTCCAGTGATTGCGTGACTCCCAGTCGGTAAGCCAGTCCAGTGATTGCGTGACTCCCAGTCGGTAAGCCAGTCCAGTGATTGCGTGACTCCCAGTCGGTAAGCCAGTCCAGTGATTGCGTGACTCTCAGTCGGTAAGCCAGTACAGTGATTGCGTGACTCCCAGTCAACAATACAGTCTTAAATGCGTGGCTTTAATTTCAGTAGATGCAATAGCCAATTAACCTATAATGAAACAGCAATATTTAGAATTTTAAATTTCACATAAATTAAAAAAAAATTCTTTTACGGAAAGAAACAAATTATTCACAGACTTAAAATTTTACTAAAATCTTGAATTTAAAATAAGCAATCTCATATGCGACCAGATTTTATAGAATTTAATTTGCATTTAACTTGAGAAATTAATATAAGATAAAAACTTTTTTACACAAGTGTAGTTTAACCACTTGCAGATTCAACTGCTTTGTTGATGTTTTGAAATTTTTAGTGATTTTTAACTTTTTTTCCTTGTTTTTTTTTTTTTGCTTAGGCCCAATCGCATTAATAAATCTGTTCTCGACGGTGAATACGTATATTTAGGAATGTAGTTTCAATATTTTGTTCATAAACAGTACTTATACTAATAAATTAAAAGTAAATTTGTTTAAAAATTTCAAATGTTTGGACCTTTTATTCATGAACATTAAATATGAATGCTGACCGTACTTCATTAAATATCGTTCGACATGTTTAAAACACTTCCTTTACTTTGAGAAAAACAGAATATGAATTTTATTAAATTCGCACTGATGAATATTTCAAAAGATTGCAATATCTAAGAAACCGTTTTTATTTACTCTAACATAATTAATCTTTAATTTTACTAAACCTGTCTCTTATTGAACAAAAAAGCACTTTTAGATATATTTATGCCGCTTAATATTTCCTATTTAATTTTAAAAATTAAAATTATGTAATTTCTTTTAAAACAGTAAATTTTTAATAAAAGAAAATTTTAAAGCACTGCATATTTTGTTCTACACTACTAAAATGTCTATAGAGCAACAAAGATACACTTACCAAATATAACTGAAGCTGCCGTAGCATAAATTTCTAAAATCCAGAACGTTATTCGTAACAGAGAACGAAAATAATAATGCTCAGTTATCCAAACTACTAAGAGATTGCTACGTGGCGGCTGGATAGCTTAAATAGATTTTTATCTCATGGTCACAGTTATATTACTTGTGCTGGTCATTATTAACGAAGGATAATTTTTGCGAGGGGGATAAAAGCGAGTAGCAGAGATCCCCCCCACACCATCATCAACACTCAAGATAATTTAGAAGCAATGCAGTGATTCAGAATTCAAATCGTAACATAAAAAATTGTATAACAAACGTTGCTTGAGAATCTGGATATTTGCATTGAAAGTTGCCATCAGAGTATTGTTCTTTTGCTAAATGTTCCGAAGCATAAAGATAGCAAATTCGATTTTTTTTTCTGATCTACTTATTTAAATTGTTCAACCTTGCATTCCTTTATTGTTTTATAGAAATCACATTGCAGGCTTGTTTGCTCAATTTAGGCTTATAAATCTTTGTCAAGTAGAAGATTTAGGGAAGGACATAACAAAGAATACATTTAGGGTTACGGTGGGATTCGAACCCGCCACTTCCACGCTTTGCACATCGTTTCATGGGTGATAACACTCGGACAGCCTGTATTCCATTTTATAGAAGTAACATGAGGAGGTATGCTCCTTTCTACTTTAATCCTACCAATAAAACTAATTTTACAAGAAACGAGAAATTTCTTAAAGTCATTCTTAATAATTTAGATTTATGTAATTAATGAAAAGTCGTACCACATTAATTTTTTACTGAAGAGTAAAAGCCAGAAAATTCTGGGCGTGGAAAGGTCTGAAAACTGAAGCACCAAATTGAAATAAAGAGAATCACACGTTTATAATCCAAATTTATCGTATAACTGCAACGAATATTTATAACTATCACATGACTGTTTAATTATAAGACATAGAAACACAATATGATACTGCTGTGTAATTTTTTATGTTCCAAAACAAAGTTTTTATGTAGTAGTAGTAGTAGTAGTAGTTCATTTACGTCGCACTAGAGCTGCGCAATGGGCTATTGGCGACGGTCTGGGAAACATCTCGGAGGATGATCCGAAGACATGCCATCACAATTTTGATCCTCTGCGGAGGGGATGGCACCCCCGCTTCGGTAGCCCGACGACCTGTGCGCGAAGTCGAGCACTTTACGGTAGCACAGTTTAGCGAGAACTAATACCGCACAGCACACCCTCGGTCTCTACGCAGATTGATCCAAGTGGTCAGCCACCCGCACACTGACCGCAACCAGTGATGCTTGACTTCGGTGATCTGCTGGGAACCGTGTCTTAACGATCAGTCCACTGCGTGACTAGTGACTTTGCAGTTGGGTGACAAACTGAAATCGTTGGAAGATTTGCATCTTGGCTTTTCTTAATCACCCCACCACTATAAAACGGTAAGTAGGAAGATATTTTACTTACGACGCACTAGAACTACACCGTGGGCTATTGGCGACGGTCTGGGAACATCCCTGAGGATGATCCGAAGACATGCGATCGCAATTTCGATCGCCTGCAGAGAGAATGGTTTCCCTGCTTTGGTAGCCTGACGACCAGCACGCGAATTCGAGCACTTTACGGTAGAACAATTTAGCGAGGACAGATACGGCTTACCCTCTGTCTATACGTCAGCTGATCAAAGTGGTCAGCCCTTAGCTAAATGACCGCAGTCAGTGATGCTTGATTACGGTGTTCTACAGTTAACCCAACCCGATTTTTAGAGTTTACGACTACCCATTTCAAACACGGTTAACCTTGTAATTTTAAACCCAATCAATCCAGAAGACAACGAAACTCCTGGATCAAGTATCGGCTGAAATTTGCCTTCTTAAAGGACTTTTTGAGGAACATAACTCCAGTTTGAGTTGCATGGTGGAAAAAAACACGAAAACCTCCCACAATTAGCTTGACGGCTAGGGGACTCTAACCCATGATCCACTGATCCGTCTACCACTGAAGATAATTTACGTCAGCCCTGTGGTTGGCGCGAGCCGTGTGCGAACTAATTTATATCCTTTATATCGCTATACATGAATTATTTACACGTGTAAGGTATATTTTCTGTAACACCACTTTACTGGAAACTGTGTCTTTGTTATCTTACATTGCATACGCAATGTAGTTTCATGTTGTAGGACCACTAAAAGTGTACTTACAAGGACTAAATTAACTGCTTAAAACCAGTATCTGTGCTCCCCACTGCGCTCATGTAAGAAGGATTATCAGTATAATCCAAAAGTCGATTTTCGTCTGTATAAATAATAATGATAAGATGACAAATGTAGGGTCGCAAGTTTCCTAATCAATATTGCTAACCTTATTGCTGAAAAACTTTGAGAAAAAAAAATCCTCAAATTCTAAAAATTATCAATTACCTTTTCTCCCGATTAGCGTCACTCTATATTTTAAAGGTTTCATGGTATCAAATTGCACTGTATCATCAAGCGTTCGCTCAAAACCGAAAAACAAATCGAGAGAGACCAGATAAACGGAATCCAACCTAAAATCTAAATGAGTGGTGGTAATTTTGTTGTTGTAGTTCATTTGCGTCACACTAGAGCTGCACATTGAGCTATTGACGACAATCTGGGAAATATCCCTGAGGATGATCTGAGGACATGCCATCGCAATTTTGATCCTCTGCAGAGGGGATGGAACCCCTGCTTCGACAGCTTGACGACCTGCACGCGAAGTCGAGCACTCTACGGTAGAACAGTTTAACGAGGACGCATACCGCTCACCCTCGATCCTTCTCAGACTGAGCCAAATTATCATCCACACTCACACTGTCCGCAGGTAGTGATGCTTGACTTCGGTGATCTGCTGGGTCTTAACGATCTGTCCACCATGGGACATTCAATAAATCGGAAACGCTTTTAAGTATTGCAAATATAACTTAGTTTAATTTAGACATAATTTTGGAAATGCTCATTTAGAAAATCCCCTACTTTCCTTTATACGTTCCCCCCCTTTTTTTTTTAGGCAAAAAGGGCAGTTTCGTGGGGTGGAATTGAATTTCTTCTAAACAGACAAGTGAGGCATTGTTCCCAGCGTACGCTGAATTAAACGAGATTAATCCTCAAGAGATCGCACTAGTTGAGAAGTTATAAGCGTTTCATATACAAAAAGTACAAATTTGTACTAGTACCTATTACATATGAGACGTTGTTTCCATCAATTTTCAAGATGAATCGAAAGAAATTATACACAAGTCATTAGAATACACAGTGGGCCAGCATCCAAGGTTCGTGGCCAAAATTAGTATTTCGCTAAAATTTGTTTCAAAATTTGGAGGTTTTTATTTAAAGGTTTTTATGTGCAGGTAAGTTGAATTCATAGTTTAAATTTTGATACACTAAAAATACCCAAAAAAAACAAAATGGAGGCTGAAATATGACGAGCAAAAATAAAAGTAATAATATAGTACGTTTGAATAATTAAATATAGCAATGAAAATAAAATAATTTTCGTAATTTTATATTAAAAATGAAAACCCAATTATATTTCCGAAGTAATATTACAAAATAACGCGAAAACATGAAACAAAAGATGATTTTTGTTTTTCGGTATATTCAGTCCACCTTTGCAATACGGGCAAAATGGGACAGATTTTTTCGAAAGAAGAAACATCAAAGAAGACAACAAAAAAAAGTTTAGCTTATTACCTCGTGGAACTTTTTGGAACTAAGTTTCGAAAGTCATTCAAACATTGTCAAATGTCAAATGATAAGATATAAACTATAAGTTTGTCAAGAGTATTAACTAATCCAACAAATTGAAAAATTGTATTATAATTTCAGACTAATTACTCTGATAAAAAAGTAACAGTAAGGTGAAATTTCTATATATATTTCTGAAATAAAACTTTAAAAGTTAAGCTTAAAAAATTTTTAAACATATTTTTCATTACATTGTACTCTCGTCGGTCCAAAAAATAAATTATAATGTCTGGAATGTTTATGAATACTTAATTTGGACTATAATAAAACTGCCTACACATATTTTAGTTGAAAATTTAATTTTTGACTTTTGCCCAAAGATCATGGTCTTCTGGCCAACAGTGGAATAGTTCAAAAGTTGTTTTAATGACTTGAGTTTAGTATCATTCGATTCAGCAGTGCCTAAACATAAAAACAGTGCATAATTTCCTTTATGTAGCTATATTAAATTCACAAATACGTACCAGTACAAATTTGTACTTTTTATAAATAAAATATTTATGACTTCTAAACTATTAGTACAATTCCCTTTGTGAGTGACCTCATTTAGCTCAACGTGGAAAAATTCATCGGAAACAATACCTAACTTGCCTGTCTAGACGAAATTCAATATTCTCCTTTAAATCGACTCCATCCAGAATGGGGAGATGTAGAGATGAGTAAGTCTAAATTTACTCATGTACAGTAAGTCTAAATTTACTATACTAAATAGCGTTTTTGATTGATTGATTGTTAAAATACCTTTATTTTCGCTAGTTTAGATTTTAGTGAGAATTTCTTATTTTTGATGACTTTGTCGTTTGACGATAGATTGTCAATTGACAACATGAAAGCTTCAAAAAATGTTGGAAGTATAAAGAGTCGCTAATCGAGAGAAAAGTTAATTAATAATTTTTAAAATTTTTAGGACTTTTTTAAAAACATTTCTAGCAAGAAAATTTAATAAGTTTCATAAATTTTTCAACAAGTTATTTAAGCAATATTGAATTGTTATCTTCGCAGTGTAGCAATAAAAATAATCTATTGGAGATGATCAAGGCATTATATTTTATGTCTTCTCTTTTCTAGAACTTCTATGTTGCGTAATCCTAAGTTGTTTTCTCATAATTTATTTTCATTTGCATATTTTAAAATTTCCTTTTCAGTATTTGAAACTTTATGACTTACTATAGGTTTCTCTGAAATCACTCTTTCTATACTTTAAATTAGTAATGAAGTAGAAAGAGAATTCGAGAGAAAAGAATTCTTCCCCAGTATGGCGTGCTCTTAATTCCTGCTGCACCAAGGTGAAGAAGGTCGCAGAATCGAGGCC